ATTTAGGGGATGAGGAAAAGTAGTAGTTGATGAGAAAGGAGGATGATGGTCCTTGGAGGGAAGCATTTCAGTCAGTAAGAGATCATTCATTGTGCTGGTTCACACACACACACCCCATAGTAGCACGGCCTTGAGAAAAGAGCCTCAATTGGGTCATTGGCTGATAACTGAAGATGTTGGAGGACCACATCAGTAGGGAACACAGGGAGGAGGACAGGTTACAGCAGGTGCTCACTGGAGGGCAAATGCAGTGTCTGTGCTTTGATAACCAGACTAATAGAAAGAAGCATAGAAACAAGGTGGACCCACAATGGTAGGTGTTTCCCAGAAAAGGCAACATTTTGAATTTGCATGCGTTGCTGCAGGAACAAGAGGCATTTAGAGAAAGCCAGAAGTTTTTCCCATTATAAAATCTGGTGGCTTCTAGTTGGGAGATGTCTGAGTTTTGCATCACTGAGACACAATACCAGGCACCCACAACTCTAAGGAGAAAAGGCTTACTGGAGTAGCTCCAAGGTAGGGCAGCATGGCAGAGGAGAAATAGCCCATGGCATGGCGGTGGGAGGCAGAGTGATCAAAGGAGGAGGAGGGCAATGCACCCTTTCAGGCCACGCCCCCAGTGACCTCCTCAGACCAGCTCTGCCTTCCAACATCACACTTAGCTATAAACTCATTCATAGTCTAATCACCTCCCAAAAGCCCCACCTAGTCATGTGTGAAGTTTTGGGGCAACACCTAGATCAGGGTGATGTAGATGCTTTTCTGAATTTGAAATTCCTTCTTCATGGTGACACCTGCATCGCACTTTATGCATTTTTCTGAATTCACTGAGATATTATAATTCAGGACTCAAGTCATTCATTGACCTTTCCATTCCCACTGCCCAGGACAAAGGAGAGAAGTAAAGGAAGGAGGAAGAGAGGGTGGAGAGCAAAACAGAAAAAGACACAGAGGGGAATGGAAGAAAAAGAGAGAGCAAGGCCAGGATTTACGAGTAAGTTATGAACACCAGAAGGGTGGTATGAGCTTTGGCAAACTGCAAGGCTGATGATATTTGGGTAATTTGTCATTTCCCTTTTTCAATACTTTCCTCAATCACTACCTTCTTGCTGCTCTCTGGCTCTCACTGACCTTGGCTGTGGGTCATTCTGTGAGGAGAAGAGCCTGTTCACCACACTCACTTCTGGGGGCCTTTTCCTCCTGGCCTTTGTTTTAGAGTGAGCGGTCAGAATGGAGAGGATCTTCACGGATCATTCTAGATGAAATGCTAGTCATCATTACAGCTAAATGTGTGAGAAATACTGGAAGATTTGACACTGAGTTTAAGATTGAATAATCAATCCATGGGAAGATGTTTTTGTATCTCTTCCTATAATAATATGATATATTTTATAACATATCTGAAGTATATTTTATTTAGGAAAAAATTCTGTTCTCTTCTATAAAGTAGGAGGAGAACTAATAACCCCATGGGGACCAGGATACTGGCGTGGGTAGGTGGTGAGGTCACAGCCTGCCTGCAGGGGGAGCTGCTACTCACTGCCAGCTGGTATTTTCCTTCCACCAATGTGGCCATAATTTCACCCACTCATTTGATTTTCAGGTGAACTCCCAGATTGTCAAATTTATGTGACTCTTCTGATCATGAAGTGGCATGAAGTGGTGGCAAAATACTGTTTTCTCAAATGCTGTAGGCAAAACTCACATGGAGAATGGGGAAGAAAACATGGCCTATGTGTCGCCTAGTTGCAATATCTGCCCACCCTCACACACCAAAAAATTTTTTTGAAGAAATGCAGTGGTGCTTTTACTTTGCATAATCCCACCTATTTGGTGCTGATGTTTAAAACTGGCCCTTCTAAAATTTTCAATAGTTTATCCTTGCCAATCTATGATTGGTTGAAAACTTACCAGAAACATTTTGCTACCACAACAATGGTGTGTGGCGTGATCAATCAATGTGGTGGATGTTGAAATTAAAACTTTGCTACAGTAAAAGGTGCATTCCCATTAACACCCTCAAAAGACCTTACCTCTTCAAACATACTTATCTTATTGCTGCTGACAATGTGGCTTCTACTGTAATAAGTTACAAGAATCATTGAAATATTCACTGTAATTTTCGATCACCCCATATAACATGGAGGTTTGCAGTGATGAGAGAATATTTTTTTTTCTTTTTTGGGGGTGCTTCATCTTTTTTTTTGCTCTTTATTTTACTGGTACATTTTCGATATACATAAAGATAACATTCATCATAGGGAATTTGTACCTGTATATAATATATCTTGCTTCTTTCTTTTCTCCATTCCCCTCCTCTCCCTTAATCCCTTCCCCTCTTCATCTTTAATAATGTGTTCCATAATTTTTGAAAGGCAATTATAAGACAAAATTGATAAATTTATCCACATGATCTTCAACTACAGGTGTAATCAGTCCACAGTTTTGTGGTGTTCAGAGTAGTAGCCTCTGTGACATTTTTGTACCAATCAAGAAAACAATTTACAGTTTAAGTTGGAGAAACTCGGGGGCTCTTCCATAGAGAAGTGACTGGTTAATTTACTTAAGACAGCAGCTTGAACAAAGGAAGAAGATAATACAACAGCTTTTGCAGAGCTGACCCTCTTTGGAGAGTTAACCTTTGTGCTCACAAATAGTTATCTGAAAAATTTCCAAGGTAGGAATGGAAATAACAGCAGATTGCATTACCTACATCCTGAAGGTCAGAGGTTCAGATCACTAAGGTAATGAAACTTCAGTGAGCTGCTTCAAATCCATTAGCTTTGTCAGTTTTTATAAGCACGCTAACTTCAGGCATGCAATTATAACAGAAAGGACCTATATTGGTGAAAATTCAGCAGCCAGATCTTCACAGAAGTATTCAAATGTCAGATGAGGGGTCTGAACCTACCCCTGTGGCCAGGCTTCTAAAATGAGCTGTTGGTGAGTTAGCTCAGAGAGAAAGAGGAAGAGGGGTGAACATTCCTCACATAGACCTCAAACACATCCCCATGTAAAGACCTCGCTTTCTCCAGGGGTGTGTCAGGGTGCATCGGAAGATCAATTAATTCACATTCCTCCGATGAAGTAGTTTAAGAGCTCCCCACACAGGTGCCACAGATTGGAAACTCGAGCCCTATAAAAACCCTAGACTGAGCTTTTTGTAAAAACCCGTTCTCTGGTGGCCACATAGCCAATAGAACCAGAACGGCTGTGGTTTGGCTTGTAAGCGCCCCCTGGAGGTGCATGTAGTAATGGCTTCATCCTGGCCCAGGGTAGGGGATCCTTTGGGAAGTAGTGGATCCTCCAGGAGGGAGGGCCTTGAGGGATGACCTTAAGCCCCTGGACTGTGCAGTGAAGGAAAGTGGGGGTTCTGGCCCTTTCCGGTCTTTCTTTACCTTCTGGCTGCAGTGAGGTGAATAGTTTCCACTGCCCTATGTTCCTACCATGATGTTTCTGCTTCACCGCAGCCCCAGAGCAACAGAAACGACCAACCATGGACTGAAACCATGAGGGGAAAATCAACCTTTCCTCTTTATAAGTTGATTCATCTCAAGTATATTGTCACAGTGACAGAAAATGGGCTACCATATCTATTGGTTTAATTCAAAATGAATGACACCGAGTATTTGTTTTAACTCGTTATTTACATCACATAACAATAACATCTGAAGCAGATTCAGGTGTCCTTAAAGAAGCATTTGTCTTCTTAGGCTATAACACAACTCAAAGCTGCCTCACAATGACGTGGTCACTATTGTCCAACCAGTGTAACTTTACCTATTTTTATATAACAACAGATGACTGCTCCAGAGGGCTGACTTTTCTCTCATAACCTAAATATAATATAAAAATATTTTAAGTGAGCCATCACAAATCAGATACTTCTCAATATTTGGCAATAACTAACAAGTTTTGATTCAACTACTAGATCTCAAGTTATAAGAATGGTTAGAACCATATTTCCAGGGTAGATTCAGGGTGTGTTCTTTTTCTGATTGTCATAATGAGTCACCAAGAAAAAAAAAATAACAGATCAGATGTTAAGTGCTAACCTATTTGTGCATAAGTTCTGAAATTTCAGTTATTGTGATTTCCAAGTTGCAGGAACAGCTTAGCCTTACTTGTGTGTGCTTCCAAATAACTGTAAAGAAGTGTTCTAATCAAAGCCAAGATCAGACCCAGCTTTATTGTAGTGAGGCAGGGAGGATGTTCGGGTCTCATTCTCCTATTTTGGCTAGAATTCTGTCCTCAACCAGCACTGAGGAGGATTCTGTCCATTATTGCCATCCTCTTAGGTGGTTCTGGCTAATGAATGATGAATTAAAAGATCTGAGGGCTGAGCTTCATGTATGAAGGTGCACAACACTGCCTGGTATCATATTATTACAGGGTCAGTTCCATCACTACTATCACTGTCTATCCAGTCTCTGTCATGACAGAAGCCACATTCCGCATTTGAAAGGGAATCTGAGAAGGGTGAGCTAGCTGATCAGGAAGTATGAAAGAGGAGACAGCTTGCCTTCAAAAAGACTAGCATAGCAACCGTGGCTTTGTAGTTTTTAATGTTCCATTTTTAATTCCTTTGGGTTTTACAGGGAAAGTAGAGGTCTGATATTTTAGCCACTTTTCCACTGCTGGGATATGATACCTGACATCCACAGTTTAAATAAGGAGAGTTTTATTTAGGCTCACAGTTCAGTTCATGGCCAGCTGGCTGCAAGGCAGAAAGGACATAGTGGAAGGGCTTGGCAGAGGACAGCTGGTCACCTCATAGTGGCCAGGAAGTGGTGAGAGGAGGAAAGAGCTAGGGAGGGAGATACCGGACACCCTCCCGGGTCAGACTCCAGTAACCCTTTCCAACTAGTCCCACACCCGAATAGCACATTCAGCTCTGAGCTTGTGATCCAATCACTCTCAGGAAGCCCTGCCTCTGAGTGTATGAGGCGTTGGGGGAGTCATTCTTGACCTAAATCAAAATATAGAAAAAGCTTTCTTACTTGGTTTAGCCCATTTCACATCGATGGCCGTGTGGTTGAGGACGCTCACGGAGATGTTGGCTCCCTTCTCCGGAAAACCGGCTAATGTGATCACGGTTGCTTCTAGGCTTGGCGTGAAACCTATACTGTTGTGCACGAAGAGCTTATACTTGTAGGTTGTAAACCTAAAGGTTGTTGTTTTAAGAAAAAAAGCACTTACATTTTTGTTTTACAGAAAAAAACCCATAATTTCCCTTTTCCTCACAAAATAAAAGAGGGTAATGGGGGGGAAATGGATATGATCAGTATATTATATGCATGCATGAAAATGCCCAATATTTTATAACATTGATAAACCCTAACAAATATATATATGACAACATATGGGATTTTCTCTTTTCCTTCCATAAAGTGCATTATTTTGCTTTTCCTCCTGACATAACATATCATTAGTTCCGTAAGTTTCCAGCCTTATCCAAAGTGTCAGGAAAATATTTTTTGGAATGCAAGCAAATACCCCTATTTAAAACAAATGTGGTTTGCCGTTCTCACACTCACTCTGTCATTTTCAGGAGTGGAGAGTTTATAGCTCAATTCAAGATGCAATCATGAACCTGGCAACGTGCCCGCTTTCTATCTGAACTGGACCCGGAGAGTTTTCTGCTCTTCCTTTGGGAACCTCAGCCCTTCTCAGTATCAGAATCCTCTTCACCATTTCTCCCTGGTCCCAGCCTCTTTCCCACAATCCCCTTGGCAGGCAGATAAACCCACAGGCAAACAGGTAACCATGAGGACGCGTATGGCGCTCTCTTGCTGAGCCCAGTGAGCTGTGGTGTGGACAGGTTTCCTGTAGTCATCAGAGGGGGAGCTGAGGGTTGTTACGTTGCAGAAACAGAATGGAGGACATGGGATGCGACACAAGGAGGACTTTCCAAGTTCTGTGTCACACCGTGGGGGCTCATTCACACATTTGTTCAGTTTAACGCTGACATTTAGGAAAATGCCATTTATAGACCAAACTAGGCGATGACTAGACAGTGACTCATGGGGACACTGGGATCAACACACTGAGCAATGTGTGACCACCCTGTGGAGGCACTGGCTTCAGATCAGCACCTACTGGGGACCCATCACAGATCAGGGATCCTTGCCCCACTCAGCCTCCAAGGCTGGGGCACAGTTGTGCCTCAGTGGGCCCCTCTACCCACAGTGGTGCAAAGGGGGTGGAGCCGCGGGTGGGACTGTGAGCAGCAAGTTCCCAGCAAGGGTTCTCAGCCCCCTAGGCTCGCCTCACCCTGCTTCCCACTTGGGCACTGAGGCGGTGTTCAAGGTTTGGCCTCAGCTGTATTTAAGGATCTTGCTTTGCTCTGGTAGCTGCAGGTAAAGACCCAGTGACTGCGGAAGGCTTCTGACTTACTCACTTCTCCTCAAGAAATGCTAAGGTTTCATCTTCTTCTCATCCTCCGTCGTCGTCATCTCTTCTCAGGTGTTTATTGTCTTCTCTCCCTTTCTCTCCTGTCTCCCTGACTCCTTCCTTTCTGCCTCTTTCCCCTCCCTCCCTTCCCGTCTCCTTTGCGTGCTGTCATGAGTTGAATTGTGTCTGCCCTAGAAGTCTTATGCCCTGGTACCTGTGGATCTGACCTTATCTGGAAATAGGATTTTTTAAAATAAATTAACTTTTCTATGAATGATGATTGTGTTTTCTAGGCAGGTATGGAAGTACTGAAGAATGTACATTTCAAACCCTGTAGAAAACAGCTTTGACCTCAGTTGTTTGTATTTTAAATATGAATAATCATATTAGGTCTATAGTTCAGCCTGTCCAACGAATTGTTTGAAGTCCTATTTAGGAAGGTCACAATACTACGATTGAAACTATCATCCAATCTTCTTCTCCCATAGCAAATGGTAAACTTTTTTCTGTTATAGACGGAACTATGGTATTTTCATATATGTACCTCCCTTTCCAGTTCAGTTGCTATTATTTAGATTAGGAAACTAGATTCTGTTTAGATGATGGAATTTTTAATCTGTTTATTTACTGAACATAGAATTTTATAAATGGATGAACAGATGTTTCATAGTCACTAAAGCCATCAATCTCAAAAATTTCTATTCATGTAATTTGGTAAGTTAGTGACAAAAATCTGTCCAATAGAGAAGTGGTCCGTAGCAAAACTGAGCAAAACTCTTCTTTGAAGAAGTATATAGAATGCAAATTATATTGTTCTTTCATGCTTGGTGTATCACAACTTCATTCATTCATTCATTATTTGTTCATTCAATGGACATTTATTGAATATTAACAATGTAGCAAACATCACCCATGAGGAGCTTGGTCTCTGGCCACCTGGAGCCATAGAGCAAACAAAGCCTTCCGAAATATGCTTTTAAATGAGAACACCTAACACTTTATTCATTTATTCCTTTTTCCTTTGACCACATGGAGTTCAGGGAAGCCTCTACAGAAGAGGCGACATTGGGCCAGGCTTAGGTGACAGGTGGCACTCTGTCCAGTGAAGACACTGTCCGGAGAAAGAGGTTATTCCAAGCCAAAACGTGTGATGCTCAGTCTTGAGAGGGGTTGATGTGCTCAGAGAACCAACAAAATCCTTCAGTGCAGCTGCAAGATGCCTCATGCTATTTTCATCAGAACTCAAAATGTGCGAACTTCATCGACACCTTAGCAGAATCCGCGTGACAATACTGTGGCCGATACAAATCCCGCTTCTGAAGATGCAGGCGAGTTTGTTGCTTCTTCCTTCCACTTACTGTTCCTCATATCCGCCACAACCCAAAGTATGCTTGAGAACAGCCACATAAATGAGGGTTTGAGAAACCTGTCCCTCACCCCCTTACATACCTGTACAAACACAGAAATAAGCAAACAAATGAAATGCAGTGCTGTTTCCATCACTGCAACCTGCGCAGATGAAACTCTTTGCTGGCAGGTGCACCATGACTACATTGCGCACTGATTCTAAAAATGCTACAAGGGATTTTTGCTTTTGGATTGAAGAGCAGTTGTTTATCACACTGAAAAGTTTTTATAATCCAATACTTTTCAGATGATGAGAAGTTGCCGCTGTTATGTTTCCAGGGCTCTCCCTACCTACACTGCCAGGATGCTGCACCTAAAATTGTCCATGATCATTTCTGTCTTTGCTTTACCTTGTCATCAACACGACAGAGAAACAACAAAGAAAGATATTTTTGAAAGAAAATACTAGGAGGGAAAATTTTCCATGAAAACTTGCATCTTTTCGGACTTAGAGACTCATTCATCATGAGGTGAGATTTAATGTGGTGGTGCTTAGAGAGAACAGCATGAACAAAGTTAGGGCAAGGAATGCAGATCCCAGTGGAGAGGGCTCTGTGACTCAACTATTTAATTTGCACATTTTGGCTCATTTTCCATGAAGCACATGGCTGTGAGACAGCGTGCCAGTGCAGGAGGACATCAGCTTTCATTATCAGGCCCAACTTTTCTTCACCGTCTGAGATGAAGGAAAAAACTAACAGGATCGACCTCATCCTGGAAGTCCTGGGAAAAGACTGACTCTCCACTGCCCATTGCGGCATCTGGGGTGCAGTCCCTTCCTGAGTAGCTCCAGCTGGAGGACGTGTGGCGGTCAGAAACACACATTGTGGAACTGTCCCGTCTTCCCATATTAGCAAAGCAGAAACCATCCCGGGTGCACATCCAATCTCACTCCGAAGGAGCTGAATGAAAGTTGCATTTCCTTGAATATTTTCTCCCGCAAAAACTGCGTCATCTTTTAGTAAGTGAAACATTTCATTTCAGTGCATTAAGAAAATACATTAGAATCTGTGTCAGTAATATTTGAACTTAGGTTTACCAACTACTTAGCTTAAGCATTTAAATCTTAAAAACCAGTTTAACTCTTCTTTGAAAATAAGATGAAATATTAATTTTGAAGGTTTGCAATTATTTTTGTGGTATTGCTTTAGCCTGTATTTTGTTTCTAAAAGACATAAGGAAACTGTGCACAAAATACTATGCACAATGACATCAGCAGGTTCCTGAGGAGTCCTCTGGAGGTCTCGCTCCAAACTGTCATTGCTAAAGAAATGCACTCAGGAATATATAAATAATGAGAGGAACAGGGGTTAGAATATGTCCCCCTTCAGAAATGTAATGACAGCCAAGTTATGATGGTCTACAAGCCAGTTTTTTCCCTGCAATAGAAAATTCTCTATTATTTCTTGCACGTTGTTCTTCCTTCTTTAAATACAGAGCCAAAAAGAAGACGCACTGCGCTGGGTTTTCTGCAGTTTTATCTGATGGTCAGGAGCCACGGTGGTGCTGGGTGCTGACAGTTCTAAGGGGAGATTGATGTTCCCCACCAAGAGGTTCGCCGCCCTCTTGTTAAACCTGCTGGGCTCACGTCTGAGGCCTCAGACGATAACGGCACGTTCACCAGATTTTCCAAGTGATGAAAATGTCAGCACATCCAAAGTTATGGTTCCCTCAACAACCATAATTTGGCCACTTTGCACAGAATTATGGAGGCAGAAAAGTCAGAAACTGACAGGCAGTATAAACCCGCAGTTACACCGAGTCCATCCACGTCTACACAGAGGGCAGAATTCAGCAAGGAGGCAACTAGCTGTGTAATTCAGACAAAACATTACTCATTGTGCAAGGCGATCATAAGAATAAAAGGCATTTTCACCCAAACTAAGTTACCAGAATAATTGGCTCAGGATTCTGATTTGGATAGGCAGATATAAAAAGAAAATAAATAACTACTGAAATGATCTGAATTCCACAATACAGCACTATTTTGGATTAAATTGGTGTGTTTTTCTATGTATTATAAACATATACCTGACCAAAATCCACCAGTTAAACAGGGAAATTGACTTTAGCTTATACTTATTCTCACAAATATATTTATAAAAGGATGCTCAGTGAGTCTTACATTAATCTTACCTTTTCTATCAAGAGAACTGCCATTTGAAAGCTGATTCTAAATGCAGCTATGCTGATATGGGAAGAAACCCTTCAATGCTAACTTTATTTATAAATTTTATTTATAAACTTTATTTATTTATAAAGATGTAAGTTAAGAAGTAAATAAGGAATGTTGGAAACTGGGGAGAATAGGAAATGATGTATTTCTCCTAAAAGTATTAGAATTAGATTAAAAATGAAATATAGATAGTCCAACAGGTAAATCAGCAAGATAACACAGTCCCCTTACAGAAGCCTGGGTTCTGAATCCTCAAATTTAACCAACCATGGGTGGAAAATATTTGGAAAAAATTGCAATTGTTACATACATAGACTATTTTCCTGTTATTATTCACTGAACAATCCAGTGTAACAACTATTTACATAACATTTACATTGTCCTCGGTGCCATAATAACCTAGAGATGATATAGAGTACGGAGTATAGAATAGCATCCAGGATGTGAGATATTACATGTAAACACTACACAACTTCAGATCAGCACTGAGAATCATGCATTCTGATTTCCAGGGGTTGGGGATGTCCAGGACCTAACCACCTTGTAGATTCAAGGTGCAGGGGGAGGGACTTTGAGGTGAGGCCCAACCCCAGTAGGTGCCCTGAGAACTGGCTGCTGTCAAGGGCCACACAAGCATCTGGCCAAACAAGATCGATTCCTTTAAACAGAAAATCACAGTGTTCCCCAGTGGACTAATTCCAGTTTCCTCTGATTTGTGGGACACCTCCCATGGGCAAAAGGGAGCCTGAGCATTTTTGGGCTTAGGCAGCGTGGAAAACTAGAAATAATCCTTCTCCCAGTAAGAAGATTCATGCATTTATTTTGAATGTCATAAAGACAAATACATACTTTTTAAAACTATAAGCAATTTACAAGAGATGTAGCAATTTATTTGCATAAAAGCCAAAAATCTTTCTCAGTCATAGCAAGAAAAAAGATCCCCTGACAATCAGCATGGTAAGACCATTAAAATATCCCCTTAGTACCATATTATTATATGCACACTTCCCTTCTAGAAGCAGCCTAGGTATGTTGATTTCAACTCACATTTCAATTTAATTTGTGAGGATTTTTTATTTTTCTTAAATCTTAGATTTGGACCTAGGCTACACAGCAAGTTCAAAGCTAGCCTCAACTACATAGTGAGACTGTCTCAAAAAAAATCAAAGGGAAAAAAAATGAAGCTTGAAGAAGTTAAATGATTTCCCTGAGATTACAAAGCTGGCCGTCTAGCACACCATGTAACAGAATCCAGATCTCTAAGAGGTAGTTCTCCTCCGACACTGCCCATTTGTCCCTTTCTTAACTTCTCTGAACTCCAGGGAAAGTTCTTCCAAGACTCAATCCTGTTAACTAAACAATTTTGTTTTGTTTTATTTTTCGTGTGGAATGAATGACTTATTACCAATGACTACCCAGAAAGAGCAAGCATTTTACAAATGCCTGGTAATTTCCACAGTTTGTATATGTTCAATATTTCCAAATTCCTCTATTAAGTTTTATGTCTGGATAGAGCTATGACAAAGGCAGCAGGTTAAGGCTCAAACATCTACAAGTGTGACTTCAAAGGGTTCCTTTCAGCATGCCATTAAGATGGCAAACATTAAACATACTGAGTGTTACAGTCCCATGATTAATGCCACAGATAATAGCCAAGCCTACTCTACTGCATAACCGATAACATGCTCACACAATGAAGACACTCAGGTACTTTGAACTATTCCACATGCCTCAAACTAAATGCCAGCATTTGTTTTAATAGTTTTTGTAATCTCACCTGCTAAGACCCTTATCTTCATAAAACCACTGAGTTCCTGAATAAATATTGTGCCACAGATTTAAATCTTCTGGGGGATTTGATGCAAGAGGTTGCTGGATTTTGCATCTCAGAAGCTCATATCTAAAACAAAAGACAAGCAGGAACATCAGGATGATCTTGACTAATGTTATTACCAAAATTCAGGTTGCTTTGTGTGTGTGTGTGTGTGTCTGTGTGTGTGTGACACATGTACACAAACATAAGGAATAACATCTTAATTTTACAATTATGAAGTTTTCCCAGATAAACATTTTTTTTCTGGCTCAACTCTCATATATTCTAATAACTGCAAACAATCAGCTACATTCACATTTTATGATTACCAATGAGAACGATAACATTTTACATTACTTATACTCCACATTTGCCAAACCTTGACTGCTCATTTTACACAAAGCAGAAATACAAAAAAGCTAACTGAGTTAATGATTTCCTATGACATCTACCATCAATACTTTATAAACAATGATAAAATTATCAACTCTGTATTCTTGGCTAAGTACCAAGTTCAGGTCGCTACAAAGCCATTTTAGAATCACAACTCGTTCCTTTCATCTTATCTGTATCCCTGGCCACATTCTTTGCAAGTTTCCAGATAATAACAATGTGTCAAAGCATTACAGTGTTAGCTTTAGAATTCTGAGACATGTTTGTACAACTGTATCACAGAACGTGCATCAAGGCTGCTAACACAGACTAAAAATACACTTCGAAAATCAAGAGGATTATGAAATGAATACTTAGAAAGCAGGGATTGTTTGGGGGGTTTTTAGTTCTTCTCAATATTATGATGCTATTCCTGCCTTGTTGAACTCGGGGATCCAGGTAAGTCAGCATACAACATAATGCTCAGTGACTGGAATTAGTTCTATGCTCACATGAGAGTAAGAGTCTGTTCTACTTTTTTATGTACAGACAAGACCATGGCAAAATTCAGAAGCACAGTAAATTTCTCTTACCTCAAATCAGGTCCATTTGGGTTGGATGGTGGCTGCCAAGAGACTCCGACATAGGACTCACTGAGAGGAGTCACTGACAGTGGGCTGACACCCTGAGGTGCAGCAGGGCGGGTGGTCACCAAGGTAGGCGAGCTCTCTGTGCACCCACCTAGGTGCCCGTTACCCCCCGAGCAGGCAATTACGGTGACAGAATAATTGGTGAAAGGAGACAGCTGAGTGATTATTTGGCTTAACACAGAAGGGGTCACATTGGTGATTGTAACGTGGGGGTCGGGCATGTGGATCTCATAGCTCAGGATGTTGCCATTCGGCATGAACGGGGCTTTCCAGGTGACCTGAAATGAAAGCTAAACTTAGAATCAGTGTGACAAACAGGAGCAGAGCAACTGCAGTTCCCAAGGCCTGGAATTTCTCTGACTTCAGGGAAGTCATTTTCTAAATGCCTCAGCACTCCTCAGACTTCTGCATTAGACAGTAATGGAGGGTTTGCGATCAATTAGCATACACCAGGGGCTGCATGAAATGCTGTTTCCTGGGCTTGGCTTTTAGTCTTGCTACTTTCTAGGACTGTCAGCCTAATACACACCTTCAGGATTCATCTCCACGGTGGGAGCTCTGAAGGACATGGAGTGAACACGTGGAGAAAGTTCACACACCCATTGGGTGGCAGCAGGACTTGGCATCCTCTTGTTTATATTTCAGTTACATGAGACATCAGAACCCCTTGCTTTGCACTGTTAGTGTACACACTGCATAAATCACTTTCTTGAAGGGTGGGGAAGAGAAATCACTATTTGCATTTTCCAAGGAAGCACAATTATGTTCCTGAATCTTCCTTGTACATAATTTAGCAAGTAGAGGAATACAAGAAAATCCTACTTTTAGTAATGAGAAACATACAGGAAACTTTTAAAAAGGCTCCCGTTTCACTAACTGATGATCTTGAATGGAATATGATCATATCTAAAGTTTCTTTTCTTTTCTGGCTAAATTCTGCTAGAGGACAGTGGTAACTCAATCATGCTTTTTTGGAGGAAAAAGGACCCTAAAAGCACATGCATAGGCCATTATAAAGCATACGCTACCCATTTCTATGCTACTGTAAAGTATATGCTCCCCATTTCATCTCTCCTCTTCCTGCCCTGCTGTGCTCCTTGAATAAATATATATAGTATAGTAGGGTCCAGAGTTTGCTTCCCAAACAAACTTTAAGTGTTTTGTTAGCAGAGTATAAATTGTATATTCTTCAGTGACATGCACCCACAGAGGTGGGATTCAGTCAACAATCTTAATCATGGCTTCTTAGATTTTATTTTTTTCCTTAGTATAGTTATTTTGAAATATCAACAGGGTGACATCTTTCCACCTATAATAAAATTATATAAAAAATCAGAAAGAAAGGTATTTTTGAGAGGACAGGTTAAACTTTTAATTGGAATCATAGATTATCACTGGAAATAAAATATTTATTTCAGAGATGGTTATCAAATGACTTAGAGTGGCTCTTAATCATTTAGATTTCCATTTTTTGTTGAGCCATTAAATATTTTAGAAAGGAATCATAATTTAAAAAATATGGAGGACCTCACCAAAATTTTCCATTTTAATTCAAAGAGGAAACATTTCTCCCAGATAGAGCTTGACCTAAGATTGTTATAAGAATATTCCAGCTGATAATTGGTGATAAAATGGGCTCCTACTACTAAGAGTCGGGCAGTTGCTTGATAATTACTGGGCAATTTATAATCAGCAATGGATAAACATCTACCCAAATTTGGTTGTATGTTCCCAAATCGTTAATCTAAAAAGCGTCTTTGTGAGCTCCAGGAAAGACACCGGAATGAAGAACTGTTTTAGATGTGTTGCTCGTGAGCCTAGCAGACTGGATCAGCTGCAGAAATGGTCAGAGAAATCTAGAGCAAGAAAACACCACAGAGCTGGCATAGGGCTCTGTTTGGGTTTGGAGGTACAATACCCTGTGTGCACTTGAAAAATGAGTCAAGAGTCAAGGTCAAACTTGGGGGCTTCCTAGTGCTTTGAACACAAATGTAGAGGGAAGATTACCAAGAAGCATTGGACATGACCGATTTGAGAAATTCACAACTTCCCTGCCTCTCAAACCAGAATACTGAGAATTCAGGTCAGAGTGTGGCAACACTTGAAAGAATGAAAACTTAGGGGATAGTCAGTGTTAGCAGTTGAGCTAACAGTGAATTGATTTGGAACTTGGTATCGAGGCTGAGAAAATGCATTCGTACGATGAAACTTGAATAAGATATCTACCAGTAGAGATTAAGAGATTTCATGTAAGGACTCTGGAGATACTCGTTTGAAGATCTAAAAGAGCCTGCTTTCTCTACTGTAAGTGTTTGCTTTCAAAAATTAGCCATTTTTCTCATTTTCTAAAAAATTATAAACTTAGAAAAATTTGTATTTTTGGCAGTTGCAGGTTAGAAAAAAATGAATCCATTTCTATAGAAAATTTTTAGCAAAACTATACTATAAAACAAGCTTTTTTTTTTTTTTTAAACAATCTGGAGGACGCTGCCCTATAGCAGTAGACTCACAGAAATGGTGTCTGATTTTACCACCCTGAAAATATCCTGCAGCCATTATTAAAAATAAATGTGTCCAAGATTTTTAAGGAGCCAGTTAGGTTAGCTAAATACCGAATTCTATTCTTTCCTATGCTAAAGACCACAATTACTATAGTGTGGCTCAAACAGACGAGATAAAAACTTTCCACCTGTTTAATTTCCTTTTATATATCCATTGTTTCTAGGAAGGATTATAAAATATTGTTGATTCCCCAAAAATTCAGACCCAAGAGCATGTTGTTGGCATCGATAAGTGAGATATGTATCTTCTAAAACAGGAATTTTATGTTGAACATTTAAATTAGAATTAATTTTCCACTAGAAATAAAATGTTTATTTCAGAAATGGCTTGCCTATCACAGTGATTTATTTGAGTGGCTCCGAGTTATTTAGATGTCCATTTCTTTGTTTAGCTTTTTGAAATTGTCAGAAACAAACAGGACAGGTAGATAGATAGTAACTTGGTTATTTAAGGAACCACCAATTTTCACCAAGTCTTTCCAGTCCCTGAAAAGCAACATTACACAGTCTTCTGCCTTCAAAGAAATGAAGATGTGCAGGTTTGCTGACTGACCTCAGACTTGAAAAGACCAACATACACAAATATTATAAACTAATTTCCTTCCTTCCTTCCACCAAATTATATTTAAGAATTTTACAAATAGGAGCATTTATGAAAATGGATATAATGAATTGAGAATGGGGTATAAATGTTTTTCTAATATTTAATTCCAACTCTGCCATTACAGCTGTGTTACTTTGAGGAAAGCACTTAACATCTCTGGGCCTGCTTGTCCTCGAATGAATGTGAATGGACAGTCCATGCCCTTATGTCTAGACATAAGGGTGTTCATTCTAAGATGACTTAATAGAAGACATGCATGGGAGGGAAAGAGAGCATGTAAATATTTGCTCTCTAGAGCAGTTCCTTCTAACATTAGACTCTGGGGACGCTCCATACAGAAGAAGTTAGGCAATAAATGTTTGTGGAAGTAAAGTTAAAGTTATCCTTGCAAGTGTCCTCTTTTGCTTTAAAAATGATGAATAATTTAGTTCCAAATGTCACATTTGTGTTTGTGCGTGAGACACCCGCAGCGTGGGCCAGGAAGGGTGGCTTTCGTCTGGTCCCGCCCTCCCAGGTTCCTCGGGGTGGTGGGATCCTGCGCACAAGCAACGCAGGCGTGTCCACACGGACCAAATGTCTGGCTCTCTTGAATTACTTTACGGACTAAAAAGTTCATTTCATACCTCTTAGGTGGAAACTTGCTTTGAAAGCTGAACAGACCATGGGCACATTTTCTCATTTGTGGTTGTTGTATGACATTCTTCTCATGATGGAAAATGAATCATTTAGTTTCCTTTTGACCTAACTTTAACGCTAAAAATAATATTTGCAAATGTATGCAACATGTACCATTACATTTATTTTACATTGGCTATATTACCAAGGATTGCTTGATAAATGGTAAATGTATGCTTAATTATAATTATTATTGATGCGTTTCATCCTGAAACGTTTGCAGGAACTTACTTTATCACAAATGACAAAAGTGTCCATGATCTACGTGTCCACAAAAACATTAGTAATTGGCATTACTAGTTTTAGTGTCTGCCAATTTTACTAATTTCCTTAATTAATTCCATTTCTCTGCTATTTTGTGAGGTAGCAAATCTTTCTAAGTATTATTTGTTTATAGTCTTGTTTAAACTATTTTTGTTAAATTATTCTTTATTATAAATTATTTGTTCTTTTTGTCTTATGGAGAAATTATCTGTTTGCTTATGACATTTAACACAGTCTCTTTTCCCAATCTATCTCTTGGATTTTAACCGTGAGGGAGATTTGTGTACCCTGCAGAAAACAACTGAATTATTTTTTAGCAACAGAGAATTATCCTTTTCAAGCTACCAAATTTCTATTTTTTTTTCCAGAAAAGGCTTCCCCACATTCAGGTTATATAAAGTTCTCTTTTATTTTATGCTGGGCTATTTTTTTTAACTATTTTTAATTATAAATTTCAGCCTTGTTTATTGGAATTTAATTATGATATGATTCGAGTGAGCCCAGTATCATTTTTAAGGTAAGCCAGACTTTCCCAGTGAAATAGAGGGCCACTTCTATCAGAAGCACATACACTGTAGACACACTTGTGTGTGTGTTTCTACAGTACATCGGAATTCGAGTCTGTTCCCCTTGGCCATTTGTCTGTTTTTATGCCAATACTATACTGATGCAATTCAGTGAATTTAAAGACAGCTATTCTTCTCTTCTATAACTTTCGAGAATATTTTCCATCATTTAGTCTTATACTTTAAAACTATTTGAGCCAGTTTAAAACAAAACCAAACCATCATCGGCGTTCTGATTGGGATGACATAAGCTTTTCATGTTAACCCTGCAAGGACTGACTCATTACAGAACCAAGTCCTTCCATTCAGGGCGATGGAATGGTCTCCTGAGACAAGGTGAAGAGAAGCAGGAGCCCAGGCTCTGGGTTCAAACTGCCGGTGTCTGGATTCCCTTCGGCTTTATCTTTTACTTCATCTTTCCTCTCTCAGTTTCCCTGTCTGCAAAATGAGGATCCCAAGAGCATTACTCTGGCAAAGCTGTACTGAGGATTAAATGAGTGCATCCTGGGACACAGGATGAATATGAGTTGTCTATTATTTTATTATTTTCTATAAGACATTTATTAAGATTTCATTTACGGTTTCATCCACTCATCTTTACACACCAGTGAGCATGGCGACTGAGACTCACTCCTTCTACCCTGGTGGAACACGTGGCACCGTGTACACAGGGGTTCACCAGGGACACCCTCGGAGGGACACTGGCAGTCCCCATTGCTCGTAGGCAGAGGCTGGGGCTCAGCAGTCTGGGCCCCAAGAGGACCCTCCGGAGAAGGCAGCTCAGCTTTGACTCTGCTTTACCTGTGACCAGGTGGGTGGTAGCCTCAGGGCTTCAAAAACCAGAAAAGAAGACTTTGCCCTGAATTGCAGTTGTATAATTTAGTTATTCCTGCACTTTATTTCTTCTTAGTCCTCAGTGTACTAACCGTCAGTGCAAGCTACACCAATTCCATCTTATTCAAGTATTTTCTTCTTAATCTTATTTTACTTTGCATTTCTGTTACAAATGCTCCCTGGGTTCCTTTCTCCCTCCTTGGATGTAACAAGAATGTGGATAGATTTCTTGATGTTGAACCATCCTTACATTTTGAAATCAAAACAGATTTGTTCTGGCATATTATTCTTTTAATATTCTGCTTACTTCAATTTGCTAAAATTTTATTTAAAAGTTTTAGATTTCTACTCATATATGAAATTAGCTTATAGTTTTATCAAATTATCCTTTTCAGTCTTGGTAGAGCATTGCTACCAACTTTATAAAAGGAAATGAATTTGCTTAGGAAATTAAATACCATAGAAGGTAGTGCATTGCTGTTAGTTGTTCAGATGATCCAATCTTGTTGAGATTATATATTTATTTTTCTTGTAATCAAATAAGATTTAAAAATTTTGATTTTGGTCTGGTGTGCTTCTCAATTTTCCTTCCTTAAAATTCATGCCTATGATACGTCAGAGCACCTACTTTATACTTACTGGTATGTTTTCATGGATTTCTTTTTCCATTTAGTTTATTGATACCTTTTAGGTATACAGTACAGTTACATTCATCGTTGGGATCTTGTACCTTTACATGACGCATCTTGGTTCTTATTTTTCCCCATTCCCTGCCCTCCCTTCACCCCCTCCACCCTTCCCCATTTACAAAGACTTTGTTTCCATGTTTTTCCTTTTCTCATATTTTTTCTTTTCCCTTCTTTCCTTTCCCCTTCTGTGGATTTGGTTTTTAGTTGACCCAAATTTGTGTAGTGTCTCTTGCTTTCCCTGTTAGAGCATAATTCTTACAGGCAGCACTGTATAAGGTAAAGAATACGTCAAATGGAGGTGTTTTCCATATGGTTTGTTATCTCCAAAAACTCATGAACTGAACTTCCATCATGAGGATTAAGAGGTGTTGATCTGAAGACAGTGTTTAGAGGTAGAGCCTGGATTAGGAGAAGCTAAAATCCTAAGGCAGAAGCCTCATGAGGGACACAGCCCTTCAACCTCAACCTTAGAAATCTGAGGTATTGAGCTGCTAGCAACAGGGCAACTGAGAAGGAAATGCCAGCTCCACCTCTCCCTCCTACCTGATCACCACTGCTTCTTCTTCTTAACTTGATTTGTTTTGTTCTCTTCAAGTCCTTGCTATGTCCAGGCATATTGTAAATGTGTGTGTGTGTGTGTGTGTGTGTGTGTGTGTATAAAAGGTTTGATTGAAATAATGATGAATGTTTAAATTTAAAAAGTTTATCACCGTGAAAGACACACTGCCGTCAATCCCCCCACACATGCCCCTCGCTTCTAGCTCACTTGCCCCTCCATTCTTGCCAATTTCTTCAGCAGTTCTGAAAGCCCTCTTTCTTGTCTTTAGTTGGCTTCATGACTGCCTGAATGAAATATTTCAAAACATTTACCTTTTGACTTTGGGAAAAAGGTGGAAGTCTTGTGGTGCCAGAACTGGTAAATAAGGTAGATGAGGACACACCTTAATATTTTCGTGAGCCTGCTTTCCCTTGGATGGCACTTGGCAGCAGCATTCACTGTACTTTTTTTTTTTGGTGCCAGGGATCGAACTCAGGACCTTGCGCTTGTGAGGCAGGCGCTGGAACCACTGAGCTAAATCCCCAGCCCCATTCACTGTACCTTTGATCACAGCTGCTAACGACACTTGCAAAAAAGGACTCCAGAACTGCTTCAGAAAGTGGCAGGAACCATGATATAAGTGTGTTCAAAGCAAGGGGAAGGATTTTGAGAGAGATTAATGATGATGTGTCTTTTACTGTAATTAAAAAAAATTTTAAACATTCACCATATATTTTGATCACCCTTTGTATTTACTATGTATATTTACATATAATATATACAATATAGATTTTACATAATGTACTATATAATAAAGATTACATATTCTCTCTCTCTCTCTCGAATATATATATAGAATATATATATAGAATATATATATAGAGAATATATATATAGAGAATATATATATATATATTCTGTCTAAATTTTCTGTCTATATTCTGTCCAAAATTTAAATTCCATGAGGCTTGGGACTTTATTTTGATCTGTAACCTCAACTTTTAAAAGAGTCATTCATAAAGTTGTGTGGGTGCTCTATAAATGTTAGTAGAGCTTAAGTTTTTACTATTATTAATATTATTGACAATTTCCTTCATCCTAATACTTGGAACAATTCTGTGTGGTAAATGTTGAATGAATCTCTTAGCCAATGAATTAGTCAATATCCTTCTGTTATTCCCCATAAATATTGTATCTATTTGCAGTTTTAACTTTTAAATTTGTATTTTACACAGAGAAGTCATCATTCACTGCACTATACTGTATCTCCACTTACCAGGTAAGTTGTCACTAGAACTTGTATGTTGGTAAAGTCCTAAGATTTTTCTGGACATAAATGGGAGCCAATAGTGCTGAAGCAAAGCTATGTTATTTTAAAAATATTTAAACCTATATCACGAAATATTAGATTCAGTTGGATATTTGTGCTGATTTTCTTCATTTGTTATTTTCTAGTTGTAAAATGGGAATTAATAAAAAGTGTGAATTTTTTAAAGAGTTATCACCATCATACCAGGTCTGTGTATTTCAGGCCCTGCCTTAGGAACTTTCAGGCTCCTGGCCTGGGATTACCCCTGCTTTGTGGGCCTCGGGGCACGGACTGCGTGTGAGGCTGAGCCCCCCACCAAACTAAACCAAACTTCCCTAGCAAGCTGACAACCCACATAGTTTCACTGATGGATGAAGAAAAAGCCAAGCAGCTTGTTCTGAATGGCTTTGATCATTGTTTATAGATGGTGAATGAGGTAGAATTGTGGGAGGAGCTATTATTCTTCTGAAAATGTGTTTTCTTTTTTCAGACCTGCTGCCATCAGCAGTGCCAGTTGGAAAGTTTTTGTCAGAAAGAACCCAGCGCAATGTCCATTATGTAGCTTTACTTTGTGGGGCGACAGTGTTTGTCGCATCCTATCGATTGGTAATGCTACCAAAGTTCTGCAAAATTCCCCCAGGATAGAAAGAGAAAATCATTTCTGGAATGATTAATACCTATACAACTGTTTGGAGTTTCTGTCTTGTTTTGTTTTGTTTTTCCCTTGACTGAAAAGCAATTCCTAGGATTACCCAGTCCATGTAATAAACATTGCATATCCTGTACTTAAAAATTAATTTCCTTTTTATGTCTCATCACTGTATTTCCATTTACTTTTGCTATTTCTATCAAAAAACTGTGCTGCTTTACTTAGTTTCATGCTGAAATTAATAAAGACTTCTTCGAATAGCCTTAGCTTGGAGGTTAAATTAAATTTCTTCAACAGTTTGCGCTGCTTAGCATGAACTAGTAGTTGCCTTTTTTGCACTCGAGAGAACAACATAGATCCAAGCAGTCGTTCCAACAGATGAACTTTGCTGTATGCAAATGCCCTTTGGTTTGTGCTCTGGTGAGCAAGCTACTGTACCAGCGCTTTTGGCAGTGATACAAGACTGGATCCATGGAAGCATGTGTGTATTTACACAAAGAGGCTTCTAAGCTACAAAACTCCCTCCTGTTTGGTTACACTAATTTCCCCTGAATGAAGTTTGTATGCCAGCCAAAACACTGGTAGTTATCCAGTCCTCTAGAGTTCATTCCCCAAAGAACGAGGTGGAAGATTGAGCACTTCCTAGACACCCCAGTAACGTGCTATTTTTATTTCTTACTGCATCTTTTCAATTCTTTGATTCTTAAAAGATACCAGAATATTGGTAATCAGAACTTTTGCTGATATGCTAATCTACTCCTCCGTATTTCCCCATCTCTTCTCATTTTCTGATCTATTTAAATGTGACGTGGTGGTTAAGCTAAGCATCCCATTGTGGCACTCAAAGTATTTCAGGTGTGCGAGGCAAATGGAAGCATCTCAGCAATATAATTAAGGGGATACAGGGAGAAATGAAAAACTGACATTGAATTCAAGAGTTTGGGCCAAAGGCCCAAACCGGGCTTCTCCAGTGAATGCCTAAAACAACAAATGTGTTTGT